TTTGGGAGATGATTAGGGTTTTTTGAAAAATGCACACACATCATCGATATTTAACCTAGTGTGTCATGAATACCTAGTGCGACCTAGTGAATAAAATGATGAAGTGGAAGTTTGAAAATTTGTAGACTTGTGATGTTTGATGCCAGCTTTTTAACTAAAGTATTTTCAGGTTCCAGGTACTTGTGGTTACACCGGAAGAGGTGACAATTTTCATATTTCGAATGGAACACCCTGAGTTTTATTACATTTTTCAATCAAAAATGTCAACTACAACGTTACTTTTTATAATTTATAAATCATCTAGTTTGACCGCCAGAAAAAAATTTGGTGTTGTGGAATGTTGTTGTGGTTATGTATTATCAGAGAATCAGTAAGGAAAGAGTAAACAGTTTGACATTTGCTAAAGCTATGGTTTATTACTGTTGGTGTGATGACTAGGTTACTTTTTGTAATGATCTGTTCTCAAGAAATGTCACATTTGGAATTTAGTAATGAGGATTATTTGAATTTGATAATAATTTATGGAGAGTGCAACCAAATAATTGCGTATACGTGTCGGCTGCAACATACAAAGGTGTACAAATAAAATTGAACAAAAATTTCAAAAATGTAATGAAATACAGGGTGTTCCATTTGAAATATGAAAATTGTCACCTTTTCCGGTGTAACCGCAAGTACACGGAACCTGAAAATATTTTACTACAAAGCTGGCATCAAACATCAGAAGTCTGCAAATTTTCAAAAGGCCACTTCATATGGTTATACACTAGGTCACACTAGGTTAAATATCGATATGATATGTGTGCATTTTTCAAAAAACCCTAATTATCTCCCAAACTATAAATGTTAGGTATAGGACATATGGGATATAAAAGATGTAAAATGAGACACCCAAGACGACTAAGTAATAAAATATGGGGGGTGCCATTTAAAAAAATGAAGTTATGGTATTTCCAAATTTCGAAAAGTTAACGTGCCATAGTAAAGTGACCAAACGTTCTAGACAGCCGTACTCGGCACCAAAACATACTCCATCATGTTGTTTACGCATGTTCTGAATCCTAAATTGATATCCCAAAAATCGAGTGTTCTCTGATTTTTTGAACAAATGTCTGCTGGAGCAAATTTTTCTAGAAAAATTCGAATAACTCGAGAACGGCCTAATCAAATTGCAAAAAGTAAAGTTATTCATAAACCTTGAAAACAGACAAATCCAAATATGTAAAAATATATAGGGTGTTCCATTAAAAAAAATAAAGTAGGTGGCGACTTCCGGTATAATATGAGAATCTCTATCTGAGAAATCTGAAAATATTTTAGTCGAAGAGAACGCAATTAATAATACTTAAATCTGAATTTTCAAATTTTTGTTTTGGCTAGAACCCTGTAAAGTTCTAATGAACGGTCGTCGTAGATGACCCTGTATTATGAAACACCCTGTATAATATAAATTGTTGACAGATATTATAGAAAAAAAAGTTTAAACAATTGTTATTGCTATTTTTATTTTACCGCTTTTAGGAAATTTTGTGTAATGATACTACGAGTATATTTTTTGCCAATCTATATACATTTACGTTTAGTGGTAAACATTCAAGGTGTTTTATAGTATTATTGCGTTCAATATCAACAAAATACAGTTTAGGTAAATTTGTGCTGACTGTAAAACGTATGGAATGGGACTCCCGACGGTGAAGGTTGTTGCTTAGAGACACATTAAAACGTCCAGTTGCGTTTTAACNCCATTTTTGGAGGGGTGTAGCTCCTTAGGGGAGCCGAAGTCGCCCATGGTTCATATATCAAAGTACCCTTAAAATTCACTAAAGAATCACCCCTTGAAGTTTGTTGCAGTCATTCAGATGCACCCTGTATAATTGGTAGTACATGCCGGAAAGTCTTCATAAACGTTTAATTAATGAATAGGACATTGTTAAATTTGCTCTTCTTCCTATTCGGCAGCTTTCTGATGAAGCGCGCAACAAGGATTGTCGAAAGTTTCGGAGAGATCACGCTAGAAAAACGTCCAGAATCACCAACACCGAGGATCTGTTCAATATGTTATTAGTTTCGTCAGATCCGCTAATTACAAACTTCAGAAGTCTCGTTCCTAAGAAAATAGAAAATATTTCCGATGAAATAATTTCATTATTAAAAAAGTCATCTCAAGAGCAGAAATCTATCACTGCAGAGGAGGAGTCGACAAATGAAGAATTTAGTTTCTCGTGCAGTAGTGATGAAGACTTTTAAAACATTTTTTATAAGTTTTTGAATATAATTATGTCTAAAAAAGTCAATATTAATTTTGTCCACCTAGATTTATGAAACGGACCACTGTGGGGCGTCTCAAAACCATACTTTTTCCAGTACCCCTTCAAAATCTTCACCAATTATGACATTAAAAAAAAATTTTCTCGTACAAAACTTAGCTTATTATGAGTAGAAAATAGTAAGTTTAAGTAGAAAACGTAGAAAAAGTTTAAACAATTGTTGCTATTTTTATTTTACTGCTTTTAGGAAATTTTGTGTAATGGTACTACGAGTATATTTTTTTTACGTTTAATGGTAAACATTCAAGGTGTTTTATAGTATTATTGCGTTCAATATCAACAAAATACAGTTTAGGTAAATTTGTGCTGACTGTAAAACGTATGGAATGGGACTCCCGACGGTGAAGGTTGTTGCTTAGAGACACATTAAAACGTCCAGTTGCGTTTTAACTGACCTACACCGACGTCCGTCGTCGTCGTTGAGCTCGCGGTTCTCGAGGGGGCACCGTCTCTGCAGTCGGCGATTGATGGTCGACATTGGAATTATTAGACGTAAACGCGAATAGAATTCCGCGATTCAAGTTGTTGCTCCTCGCACGCGGCTCGAATGAAGACGTTTTCGCAAAGTTCTTTTTTGTTACTTTGTTCTTTTTCCTTCTTTTATGGTGTCGCGCTTAAGAGCCTTCTCAGTACGGCTCGGAATGAAATTAACTCTACTTCAAGTCTAAGTGTTATTTCACGCATAACCATCGGTTTGATTACTTTCGCTTTTTAAAAGATTTAAATTTTAAAACTCGAAAGTTTTAAATCTTTTATGGTTGGGTTTTGTTGGACGACGATGGTCTTGGGACCAGTTTGGATCTCGTCGAAATGTCAATGCCGCTCGCGCAAAATAATGCGGTTCCGAAGCGGCACGTAGCGGTCACGTGACGCTCACCTCTGCAAGGTCGCAGCAGCAGCAGCGCCCGCCGAACAAAAAGAAAAAAAAATTACCGAATAAAAAGAAAAATAAGAATATAAAAAAAAAGGATTGCAACGCGCATAAAAATCATTAAGGAACCGTATCGAAGACAAAAGCAAAAAGTGTAGTCGGGGTCGGGGGCCCCCCTTTTGTTTTTCGCAGGCGTACCGTTTCTCGTTTTCCACTTCTCCTTTTCGTCGTTTTTCGTATATTAAAAGCGTCCGGTCGCGGGTAATCGTCTTCCCCGACCTGCCCCAGTAAACAAAAGCAAATGGACGATTTTGTTTTGAGTCCGCGTTTACGCACACGGGACTCCGACCTGGTTTTCTTTTCTTTTCGTTATTTCTTTTCATTATTTCTTTTCTCGATTCTTCCGACATCTGACTGTTACGACCAAATTAATTTAATCGCTACCGCGATACGTAATTAACGTTCCTAATTTTTTTGTTTATTATCGTTTTCGATACGAAATTAACCGGTTCAATATTAAAAGTTAAAACAAAAAGGAAAGAATGAAAATCAACTGGGAAAGAGGACGAAACAAATCGGGACCGAGCCCTGCAAATGAATCCCTACGGGTGAAATGCTCGTATTTACAGCCTGTTATCATGCAATCCGGGTATTAACTGCCTCGTATTTTTTTTTTACTCCCGAACCGGAACGGACATGTGCAAATTGCCCTATCCGTGTCTATGTGAAAATTAACTTGCTCCTATCATGGTAAAATTATACGTGCACAAATTGAGAAATAAGAAACAATATTTATCAGTAGAAATGACGAAGAGTACTTTACTATTCAATAATTGTTGTTTGTATCAAGGTTTGGAAACTTTGCAAACGTGGAATGTATTAATTTTAAAAAGCATAAACAAGGTATATCATTTGAGTAGGTACATCATTGGGCGAATAATATATTGTAATAATAGTTTTGTTATAAGAAATAATTACAATAAAGAGGAAATAATGACATTCCGTAGAAAAATCCTTGTAAATCGAGAGCCTAGAGAGTTTATTAGTACTTCTTCAAATCTAAAAAATAGATAAATACAATTCAATCAGATAAAAACAACAATAAAATCAGTGATCTTACCGTTCAAATTAATATTATAATTAAAATATAAAGAACAACTCACGTATTGATATCAAAGTTGATATACCGAGGATAGTTAAAGCTGATCGTTGAAAAATTTCATAAAAGTTTGTTATAGTTCTCATTGATTTCGTCGTTATTTGTAAAAATGTTTTAATCAATGATAAATCCGTTCGTATTTCCGTCGTAGATTAAGAAATATTCTTGTATTTAGTTAAAAAAAAAGGGGCCACAAAAAAAACGAAACATAACCTCCAAATCCAAAGTATTCAATTTATGGGTGATTACAGCCAAAAAACTTCTTGAAATACCTAAAAACATAAAGCTTATAATGAATTACATCAGATTCAAGTGATTTTAATCAGTTTAAAACCGAAATGTTGAAAATTAAAAATGTGAAGATTTTGAAAGAAACGGAATATAAATTTTGGAATTAAAGAAGAATTAATGTGAAAAATTGTGTCAAAGGGGAATGAAATAATTCAGAGTATTCAGACATTGAAGGATTTCAATAAATATAGTTTATTTAAAAAGTAATTTTTGAAAATTTGGAAGAAAAACCAAATGTCAATAAGAGATGGCGCTCAGAAATACAAATTTTTTACACTTTTTCTTGTGATATCAAAGAGGGTGATGGACAAAAAAGAGAAGTTTTTGCCGAAAAAAGGGTGAAAAATGAATAACGAGGATTCGCTTCCTGATCATCATTGAGTAAACATCTATTTCGAAACGCTCGTGAAATCCTACGAAGATAAATTTCTGAAGAAAAAACATAACCAAAGAAATTCACAATTGAGGTTAGAAAAAAGAAATAAATTCAACATCTGTACGACAATCAACTCCACCAAGGGAGAAGAAAAGAAGCTAAAATTAATTAAGAAGAGTACGATAACCAACCTGGGAAAGAAGACATCGGAATAGTTTTTCCGGAAAGCCACCAAGGGGGTACCAGCACATTCCACCAAGGGGGAAAAAGGAGCAGTTCAAACCAGGGAGGAATCAAGATTTCAATCATTTCCACCAACATCTGTAAAACCAAAGAAGTTAAGATTTTTTTTTATACAATTTTTATTCATTTTCGAAAGACGAATACACAAATTATCACAATATTTATATCTGGCTGATTTATCACAATGCATATTTTTGCATAACTCGTTGTGAACAGTTTACAAAAAATGTGAAAATGAAAGATTTTTGCCCGATTAAGCCAAAATCGTTTGCGATCAAAGCGCTAAATGAAGTTGCTTGTAGTTGATACAAAACTGAACGGTTTTCAATTAAGCACTATGTTTTCGAATGGTTGAAATCCTAGTATTTCTTCGTTGATCGCATTGTTTTTGCCAATCTATCCTATGCCGATAGATAGCCTCTTTATTCTTGATGACTTAAACAAGGCATATACAGTGTGTCCCAGGATAGATGTTACAAGAGGCATAATGACTTAAAAATTTTTGAATTTTATTTTAATGCTGAGGAATTAAGACCTGCTTGGTGTAAAGAAAATTTTAAGAATATTTTCATATTTTGGAATTTCTTAACTATTCGCATAAATTGGTATTAGGCAATCTCTCGTTAAACTGCACCACTAGTCTTAGTACACTTTGCCCCAGCCCATAACACTGCACGACAAAAATTTGTTGTTATAATGTTAACATAATGCAAGAGTAATTTTTATGGCATTTTTCATTGTTGTTTTTCTTCACTCTGATCTAATCTAAAATATGGTGGTTTAATCAATTTAGGCAGATCTTTCTGAAATTTTGCATAGTGCCACAATTTCTCCTTCTGAACAATTTTTCTTAATGAAATTTTGCCGTATCATAAACAAAACGCTTACTTTACCTGAACTAAAAATAGTTTTCACTTCACTGTCAAGGCCGAGTTGATTTTCAAAATATGAATATATACTTAAAATTCCACACCACGCAGAGCTTAATTCCTCATCTTTAAAATAAAATTTAAAAATTTTTCGGTCATTATACCTATTGTAACATCTATTCTGGGATACACTGTAGACTATTTGAGTAGGCACATCATTGGTGGAATGATATATTTATATCTAGCTGATTTATTACGACTTCGTGATCAATGTTTTTAGTTTTTGCATAACTCATGAATAAGTACAATCCTGAGAGTTATATCGATATACAAAACCGAAGCGCTAAATGTATACCGTAAGAAATGCATAATTTAAATTCATTAATCTGATGTTGCTTTTAGTTGATACAAAATTGAACAGTTTTCGAAGATGTGTGCCTAAATTAAGCCAAACTTGCTTGTGGCCGAAGCACTATGTTTTCTAATGGTTGAAATCCTAAGAATTCTTCTGTGATCATATGGTTTTTGCCAATATATCCTATGCCGAAATAGACAACCTCTTTATTCCTGATGTGTCATACGTTTCGTGAGCTAAATTAAAAAGCGTGAAATAACCGTGACATTTCTTTACCTCATCAACGATTCGTTTTCTTGGAACTTGGTCGCAAATGTCAATTAGATCATTTTGGACATGAATTCTTTGCATTTTCCGTACACTATTCAACGTGATCTTGCACACACCAACTGCTTGTACTTTCAATTTTTATAAATCAACAGTGTTTCCTGACTGAAATTCCTTTTCACGAAGAGTGAGATCGCATAATCAATACAAAAATAGATCGAATTTGTGATTTTTTACTTGACATTATCATAAGTCTTCGCATTTTATGACAGGTGATGGATAGGAGCCAAATTAAAGTGAGATTTTCATCTGATGTGCGACTTAAGTAGTGATTAGACAAGTATAGCTTATGGCTTACTTGCTGATAACAAGAAGGATAGGATACCAACTCTAACTGTACTTAACCTGCTACCCCTATATATTTTTAGCAAAGAGATTTGTTTGACGACACCGTTTCAAGATTGCGATCAATGAATAGTAAGCATTAATTATGCAAAACTGAGGTTCGAAGTAATCTTTGAAGCAATTTACTCTAGATTCAAGAGCTCTCTTGGAGGACACTCATGGAAGGCATAGAGGCGGAAATTTTCTTCCATGACCTTCATTTACAGTGGTCTATCTCTTTAGGACCTACTAAGAAATGATTTCGAGTAATATCTTGGCTGACTTTTAATAATTAACTTAGCTAGTACATTCTTAGCACATTGTCTAAAATCACCTCAGGCTAATCATGGTTATGAATTAGGATTTTAAAGAATTTTTAAGGATTTCGAAGTACTTCCAAAGATATATTAACGATTTTTTAACTGATTACCAAAGGTTTTAGACACTCTCAGAGTTCTTCAAGTGGTTATCATGAAAGCTTTCCAGAAACTTTCAAATCTTTCTTTATCGCAAAGAAATGGTTAATAGGAGATTTTAAGGATTTTCATGGATATTTGTGTATACCTAAGTATTTTCTGCTTTATCCGAAGACTTTTAAAGGATATCCAATATTTCCCGAGCATTATCAGTGAATTTCCCAGAATATTAAGTGGATATATGTACTTTTCAAGTGTATTTCCAAATGTTGTTGATAGATTTTTGACTATTTCCAGTGGATATAAAAGGAATTCATTTTACCAGAACGAATGATATATAACAATAATTCTTCTCAAAAAAATTTTTTTAATGGAATCCTAAAGCTTCCTACGGGATTTTCAACAATTTCTGGGAATATTTGAATGATGTCTATGAAATACCAAGCATTTTCGACGTTAGTGCACTATCAGTGGATTGCCAAAGACTACAAAGGATTTTTTGGATTTATTTTATCTAAAAGGGTAGCGAATAAGGATTTTTCAATGGAATCCAGATTCAAGAATTATTGCAAAGGTGTTTGCCAAGAATTTTGAAAGGGTTTAAATAATTTATGCTTCTAATGATATTTTATTGATTTTCAATTATTAACAATAATTTTTGACTATTTCCGAGCTCTTCCAGAGAATTTTCAATAATTAAAAAGGTATTTCAGAACTTAATTTTACCTAAAAGTTATTGCGAACGAAAGTTGCAGAATGATATTATTTTAAAGAATTTCTGACAGTTTGGAAGGGTTTTGGAGTGCTTCCAAGGACATTTTAACGATTTTCAATGTTTGCCAAACATGTTCTACGATCTCTGTGCAGCTTCAGTGGACTTCTAAGAAGCAGAAACGATTTTTAGAATTTATTATACCTAAAAGTAGCAGTGAATAAGAGTTTTTCCATGAAACCCAGATTTAATGATAACTTAAGAATTTGAAAATTATTGCGAAAGTTTTTCAGATAATTACCAAAAATTTGGAGAGCATTTTAAAGAATTTCTTAGGATTTTCACGGATTTCGGAGTTTTTTAAATTTATTTTATCTAAATTTGCAGCGAATAAAAGTTTTTCCACTGAATTGAGATTTAAAGGAAATTAATGAATTTAAGGTTATTGCAAAGATTTTCTAGATAGTTATCAAGATTTTTGAAAAGATTTTAAATAATCCTTGAGGATGTTCCAAGCACATTTTAACGATTTCCAATGGTTAGCAAAAATTTTCAGCTATCTCAGAGCGCTTCCAGAGGATTTCCTAGAACTGCAAAGGATTTTTGTGATTTATTTTGTCTAACATAAAAGTAACAGTTTTTTGCCAAATTCCTTTTCAAAGTAATTCCAAGTACTTCATGACTATTTCTAAGGATTCCCAACTACTTGTAAGGACAACCAAGGATATTGGATATTTTCAGTACATATCCAGTGAAAGCAGAAAGAATTCCAGGTAGATTTCCAAATATAACTGGTAGATTATAGCATTTCCAATGGATATAGAGGGACTTCAAAGTTTTGTTTATTCAGATATAATGGTAAATAAAGTTTTTTTAGGAAAATTTGTTTTATCCAGAGAAGCATGAATGTCTCAGAAGATGTCTCAAAGATATCAGAAGTATTTCCATGGATACCTGAACAATGTCCAAAGATTATCAAGGACTTACGGTGAATCGACCTCCATTTTCATTCCAATTACCTCTATTAGAGACTTCCGTCATTTTCTCGATCGAATCCAGTTTCAAAGGTATTCCAAGGATTTTAATACCACTTTTAGTGTATTTCCAAGATCTATCAAAGTCACTTTTAAATTTTACTGGTTTCAAAACTGTGCCAAATTGATTTATGAAGTCAGATTCCACGTCATTGCTTGATTACAATTTGTGGAATTCCTAATTTTATTACCACTTCATTCTTTAAGTTAATGATACATGATGAGGTGCAACTTTCGATTTAACTTGATACATAAATGTTAGGATACAACGAGATTTTGTTAATTCCCATCATTATAATAAAAAAAAAATGGTTTAAATTAAAATCAACTTGTATATTTTTTTTATTTTCACACCGGATGTGCGGTGATGACTTCTTATGTTGTCCCCGTCCAGCTGTAATGGCGACGTCTCGGTCGTCGTCTCCTTGGAAAGCGCGGCGGCGGCCGATCTAAAATTGTATCCTCAACTGAAACGCGAGACGTGACTATGGATGACGCGGGTGCCGTTTCCGGTATAATTAAATTTATGGCCCCAAACGGGAGACTCGAAAAAAAGTAATAAGAAAGAGAATTAGAGCAACGTCAACTTGACATCGCATCTTATAGTGTAAATTTTTTCGAAATATGTAAGATGTAATTGTGGGGAATTCTTGATTTGAAAAAAATTTTGTTCTAGCGCGATTTAATTCTTAATTAGCATAATAAATAAATAAATTACCCTTAATGATATAGTTTAATTTCCTGCCCTGAGGATTTGCATACGCGCGCGATTCTCTCTCTCTCAGGATCGAACTTTTTGCCCTCGTCCCGATCGTTTTAATTACGCACAATTTGCCGCGGATTCTCATAAATATGCATCGCTTGTCAATTCAGGAAAATTATGCAGGTCAAGCCTACTATTAGCCAGTGCATGGGGGAAACGTGCGGTGGCACACGGACCGTTAACCCTAACCTAGAAATACCGCGCGAAATAAAAAAATACA